AAATCAATATATTATAAGTATAATTATTTTTTAGAAATAATATAGATTAGGATCACATTATGGGCGAAAAAACTTGAACCCAATGAAGACTTATTTCTAGTCCTAACAGGGACGGTTAAAAAGTCGAGGATGGGATCCAGGGAGGTAAAACCTACCTTGGCCTTGTTGTCATACTTACACTAACAATATTAGTACTATCCATTGTTGGAAACTCACCAACTGTGTCTTTATGTATTTTTGTTTAATACTCTAAGACCAAGTCATAATATAATTGACTAATGATCCTAACTTGGAAAAAAAGATTCATGACCATACAATTTTTAATAATGATATTCAAGTAATTTCATTTTGTATCTAGGATCCAAAATAGTAGCAACTCCTATAATAACATGAATCACATTCCAATACTTATCAAACTTAAACATCTTTTTTAACATTTTTTTAATCAATTCATTAGGAAATGTAATCCATTGAGTCAATGCCAATTTAATCTCACATATATTGAAAAAAATACACATTAGTAGTTGATGTTTAGTACAAAAAATATTACTGTAATAAAATTGAACAATTTCAACCTTTCAAAAACTTCTTTTGCAGACTACCATTGTAAACTAGGACAAATAAATATATTGAGAATCTTATTGCTTTGGTTGACTAAACACATCCTTATATATTATGGAAATTTCAAGTATTTTGTATGTTAAATTCTATCTAGTTGGACAATCTAAAACCAAGTTCTTGGTACAAGAGATGAATAATTTGTAGTTTCCTCAAAATTTTCTTTCCTTTTAGGGTTGCAATCTAATATGCTACACTACCTTGAATCTTTTCAACCACATCTTTCACCACCTCCAACCTATCTTTAACTATCAAATTTAATATGTGAGCACACTAATGCATGTGAAGTAAATCTCTATCCATCAATAAAGTGTTAATTTACAATTTATCCTTAATTTTTTTAATCATAACATCATTTGTGCTACTGTTATCTAGGGTGATAGTGAACAACTTTGTATCAATGTTCCAATCCATTAATCATTCAACTAATGCATTACAAAGTTTATCACTTGTGTGAGGAACTGGAACATGAATGAAACTAACATAATAATATTCATATAAATTTAATCGAGATTCAATCATTTTATCATACGAAAAAAAATAGTATAAAATATGACTAGAAAAGTTATTTGTTACCTTAAAATGTGACTCTGTAAGTTTCAAGAGTCATCAATATAATGAATAGTGATAGTTATATATCCCCTTTGTTGATTATTTGAAGTCTATATGTTTGATAATATAACCACTCTTCCTTTAAGACTATCCAATAACTTCAAAATTATTGATGTCTCAGACTTATAGACTTTGAATATTTCTATTTTAATAGTATTTATAGAAGGAACTTGAAATCTTGGTTGGAGAGCATATGAGTATCTTTTGAAACCAACATGAACTACAACTCTTTCCTTACATAATAATTGCATGTGCATGCTCTTTCCTTGCATGCTGTACATCATAAAACTCTTGCTTACCTTGCATAACATCGAGGGTAATAAATGTTTGCCCATTTTTTCCATTTTATAGAAATATTGAATTGAATACAACTATCTTTGTGTTGTCATAAGTGTTTCCTAGAATAATTGCACTGAACCTTGTCCTTTCCATGAATTTTAATCTTTTGAAAATATTGTCAAATCTTACTTTTAAGTCTATTTGATCCTAATGATGTAATCTCATCATGTTCATTATCTCTAGTTATTGTTGGTAGGATTTCATTTGGTGTAGGAGTAAGACCATCTAGGTTACAATTTTCTTCTAGCATTGGATCCTGTATGCTTACTTATGTTGCTTCATTATTTTCTATTATATAAAAAAATCCTTACAACCACAAACAAGATATGTGTGTTATTTATTACCAAATATTTCTTCATTCTATCATGTTTTACCATAATTAGTTTGTTTTTTTTATATATAAGAGTTATATTAATCATAAAAGATAAAAAAATATAATTATTTAATTAATGTAAAATTTGAAATATGATAAATAAGAATAGTAAAATCTAAAAAACATGACATAATAGAAATTTAATAGAAATAAACTAGAAATAAAATATTGTTGAAGTTGATTGGAGAAGTCAAAATAATTAAAGAGATTGGAGAAACCAAACTGATTGAAAAAATTGAGGAAAGGTGAAGCAAAAAAAAGGGAGAGAAATACAAATTTGCGTTCGATTGGAACTTGTTGAAGAGATTAAAAAAAAACAATAACTCGAATGAAGAGTGAGTGAGATTAGAGAGAAGGAACACTGTGAGAAGACAAATGGTTATATTTTAGTTTTTAGATTTAAATATAGAAAAGAAAACAAAGGGTTAATATGTAATGTGAGGAAAAAAAAAATAGATGAAGGGTTAACATGTTAGGATTTAAGTTTAAATATAAGTCAGGATGTAGTGGAGATTGCATTACTCATCCCTGTCTCTGAATCCGATTTTTTCCTTTCAACCTCGGGGTGTGGACTAATTGATCCCCACAAGTATATGTTTGATTGTCATCCCTAAACTTAATCATTGCAAAATCTCCATAAATATGGATCATCACAAACATAATATTTAGCATCACTCTTAGGTTTATAAATTTAAGTCCTGTATACATGAGAAAGTACAACAAAAAACAACTAAATAATTTAAAGTATATTCAAACAAAGGTCCAGAGTCTAAAGGGTAGAAAAATAATAAACGATTATTAGGAAAATAATCTCTAATAGATAAGGGATTTATGGTCCCTTCAATCCTGCTTAGATGATCTACAACTTGATTCTGAGTAGCAATTCTATCTCTTCTCTATGTCAAACTCCTGAAGCAACAACATCCATTTAATCAACTTATGTTTAACATTGGACTTCTTCAATAAGAATTCATGTTGCATGGTCAAAATAAATATTAATCTTAAGGCAAAGAAAATAAGAATAAAATTTATCTAATATAAAAAAATTGCTAAAAGTTAATTCTCAATAGTAGTATAATTAGTTTTGGTTACATTAAGTGTGTAAGAGACATACACTATTACACAAAGAATTTTACTAACTCATAGCACCGAGTGCATAGTCAAAGACATATACATCACATATGAGCATGAGCTCAAAAGGAAGCTCTTAATCATGTGGTTGCATGATAGGATAAGTGATAAGTCTTTTCTTCAACTCCATAAATGACTCTTTACATGATTGATTAATCACAAAAGTTGCATCTTTATGAAGAAGGTTAATTAATAACAGGAAATTCTTATATAAACCTACCACCAACATAAAGTAAGAAAGAAAAGTAATAACATGAAGTTTAGATATATCAACCTTAATACCTTTTTCGAAACTAAGTATCCTAAAATTATCTCCTTAATTTTCATTAAAGGACATTTTTCAAAATTTAGCACAAATTAATTTCAATACAGCTAACCAAAACTCTAGATAACCTATATATATAATTATCGAAGAACCATAACTAAAAAAATCATTACATGTCATTCCATGCAACTCTTAATCAAATAAAATAAAAAAATATTAAGCACACACCACTTAAAAAATTAACATGTGTTGCACAAGTGAAATATATTCCATCTATTTATCTATTTAGTAACTAAAATCAATATTCAAAATCATAATTAAAAATGATTTTACAAATAAAAATAATAATTTTGAAAACAAAATTTAAAATTGTAAATAAAAATAACAAATATTGTGATATAACTTTATTAAATGGTAAAAATTTTAAATATTAAAAAAATATTTCAAATGTCTATATTTGATTATTTTCTTGATTATTAAAGTATTATAATAATCTTTTTATTTGTATCTATTTGAAATTGTGATCCATCAATCACTAATGATTGAATCCGGCACTAAATTTAATCTATAATTTATTTATTCTCTCTATATTCTTATAATTGTTTTTGGTAGCATTTATAATAATATTATTTTATTTATTATCAATTAAAATAATTAATTATGTAATAAAAATATAAATTAAAAAAATCTTAAATAACCATCCATTCTTTTTAAAACAATAACTCAACTTTATATATATATATATATATATATATATATATATATATATATATATATATTTATATAAAACTAAAATGTTACACTCTCCATTTTTTATATATTTTTGGTATCATATTAATAATAAGAATATTTTTTTATCAACTAAAAGTAATTAATTATTTAATAAAAATATAAATTAGTAGCCATTCATTTCTTTTAAAATAATCGCTAACATTTGTAATTTTTTTAAAAATTACTCTCTTTTATCTAACATAACTTGGTTAATTTTCAATAATAATAATAATAATAATAATATATTTTTATCTTTAACTACCCCAACTTAAATGTTTTAGAAAGAAGTTATTATAATTTTGCACTTCTCTCTTTTTCTTATAAATTCATATATATATATATATATATATATATATATATATATAAATATATTATCGTTAAAACGATCTATTATAAAAAGATAGGTAAACCATTCAAAAAGATTAATTCTGTATTTGACGAAAGAAACCATTAAAATGATATGTTACAAAATAAATTATCTTTTGATTTTTATAAATTATTAATATATTAATAGTAAACAATATCAAAGAGATTTATAAATGAATTTAGAAGAAACAGTTTGTATTTAAAATTACACTATAACACAGAAAAATTATAATAGAATGCAATTTTTTCATTCTAATAAGAAAATTATCTAATTTTCTTAGCTAGAATTCTAAACAGCATGAATTGTTTTTTTTTTTTCAATATAATTTCTCTTTGCCCAAATGCCAGAAAGAGTACCTTGCAAACTTTGTTGTTAACATTTTTCAAAGTTATTAATTAATTCATATATTAAGTCAAAATTATACTGAAAAATTACCAAGAAATTTCACCCATGCAATACAACTAACAACGAAGGGATCACAAAACTCAACTCAACGGAAGGAAATACAGAGAGACACAGAAAAGATGAACAAAGTGAAGGTTTTGGTGGTGGGAGGAACAGGGTACTTGGGTCAGCATCTGCTACAAGCCTATGATCATGCCATTCCCAATGCCAATGGAACTCCTTTTGCTTTCGATGTCGCTTTCACCCACCATTCTTCTTCTCCTCCCCATCCTCTCTTGGATGCAATTCCTTCCTCCCTTCCTATCCAAGTTGATTTGAAAACTGGCGTTGGATTTGAAGCCATTTCCAGCACTTTTGGTCAGGTTCTGGTCTCACCCTCTTACTTGAACTTGGTTATGTTAATGTTGTGTTTTTTTTTGTCCTTTTTTTAGTTGGTGAGGAAAAAAGTGATTTTGATTAATGGGTCATTTTGTTATTTCCTTTTGGGATTAAAGTTTGGGCCTTTGTCGATATCTTTTTGGTCGATTGCTTCAGTGTTAAACTCTTTATTATCATGGTTTGGAGATTTGTTGGAGCCTCAAACTGGAAATTATTTGGTTTGAGTTTCATACGAGATGCCCTTCTCTTTGTCTATTGACTCACGGAACTACTCGCATATTTGCTGCTTATTCATAACAATGATTTAGATAGTCTAATGTACGTGATGCGTGTTGCTCAGATTCCATATAAGATGTAAAAGGGAAGTGAGATATGTTGCCTCTTTAGCTGCTAACACTTGATATATATATTAGTGCATCTTTCATGAATGAATCTTCGAGATTATTATTAAAAGGATTTAGATTGCAATTGTGCAACTTGTTTTAGGCCAATGTACACAGCCTTGTCTTTTCTTGTTTGACACTGACTGGTTTACTCCTTTAGCACTATCGGAATCCTGGATACTTTTGGACTTGTGGAATTTGTTTCTATGTAGAATATTTTCATCTGCCTACCCATTCTCATTCATCTTGCCATACACTCATGTGAGCATGACCATGTCCCTGCGTGCAAGGTTCCTGGAGAGACAGAGAGAAAGAGTGTCTCTTGTAATGTTTTTTAAAATATTTATAAGAATGTCTTACAATATTTTGAGCCTTTCATCCATTAATGTATCTTAAGGGTATATAGCATTAGGATAAAGGACCACATGTTAGCATTTCCTAGTGAATATATCAGTATTGTGATTTGTTTCATAATTGACAATTCTGTTTGTTTATTAATGGCAGCCTGATGTAGTTGTCAATTGTGCTGCCATCTCAGTTCCCCGTGCTTGTGAAATTGATCCTGTTAATGCTCATGCTATTAACGTGCCATCATCTATTGTACAATGGTTGCAAAGCTTTGAAGAGAAAACTACTCTTCTAATTCATCTTTCCACAGATCAAGGTAAGCAAATTTTACTATGATAAATGAAGATGAAAGGAATGGGTATTGTGAAAAAGGAAATATTTTCATAACCTTTTTGAGCCCTTACTCACTTCTTTCCCTCTTTCTGACGTTTGTCATTCTTGACTAAAATCTAACATTATCATCATTGAAATTTCAGAATTTTTTTGTTTATCCCTTATCCTTTTTCAGAAATACCAAGGTATGAATCGTGTTTGGGGTAAAAATTTTCTTTCTTCCTTTATTTGTTGTGTTTACTATCCTATCCATGTCCATTCACAATTTGACTTTTAGCATAATTGTAATTTTTGACTTTAGCACCTAAGATCATGTATAGGTTAGATATATGATATGCTGCAAAAAAAAATTCTTGATGAGACTGATTTTAAGAGACTCTTTTTAAGGTTGCAAAAAGTAAGACTAAAAATATATTTGAAAGTGTTTCTATACTAAAGCTGAATATCAATCATGTATTACATTTTCCTTTGTATAATTATGGCCTTACATATAACAAGTCTCCTCTCTTGTTCTTTAATTATGATTTCATTTGGATGTTACTTTTTCATTGTAAAATGCCCATCTTTTACCTTTTTGTATTGTTAAAATAATTTTAAGCTGAGGTATCCAAATCTGCTTTCATGAATCTACTTTGTGATTCTTGTAACAGAGGGCAAGCAAATGCAATTGTTACTTAATGTTGGTGGAGCTGACAGGGTTTCACGTGTTCAAATGGCTGAGGCTGTTGCACAATTTAGAGGGTATGATACCTCATTAATCAAACCAGTGTCTGTGCTACATTTTATAGTAGTTTTGTGATATTTAATTAGTATCTGCATTATCTTTGTATACAAAATTAACTTTTAATGCTACTCCTTGATAAAACAAATTCATTCCATCCTGGCTATCAAAGTTTTTTATCACCTTTTGATGACCATTTCTCAGCCTGAGATAATTTATTTTCTTCTTTCACTTGCGATTTGTTGACATGTACTCTTTTGTCCTATGTTTCAGGTTGATCGAGGTGTGAAGTCCCCAGCTGACATCCCTATGGATATCTCTACATTGGTTCAAACCCTAAAAATTCATCCTGTTTTATTTAAAGATGGCGTGAGATTAACACTCTCAACCGAAGCTAGGCAATGAGTCAACCAAGATGTGAAACAAGGTTTCCTTGTTTACATCCGAGTCTTTTTTTCCTCCCATTCTGAAATGTGTTCTCAATTGCTCTTCCTACATTTGGATTGTTGTAAAACAAATATAGGTAAAATCTTTGAAAAGTCTAGTGAAGCCAATTTGTTGGACCTCAGGGAATTAGAAAATGACAATTAGCTATTCTCCCAATTATTTTCAGGATGCACTTACACTGGTGTTAGTACAAGTCAGTGTAATAACACACTGAACATTTTATGTATGTTCAGTGATGGGAAAATACTAGTGTGATTTTTACAGGAATTGCCTTCCAATTGCAAATGGCGTGTTTGTATATTCGTTATCCCACTTTTCAATGAAAATGAAGGGAAAGACAGAAAATATTGTCTCTGGATTAGTTTGTGCTGAGGCCGTGTCTGGGATTAATGAGGTTTAAGACGAAATTCATTCAACTACAAAATTATTTATCAAAATTTTATAATTAAACATTTATAGTTTTTTTTATCTTTAATATACAAAAGGAAAAGTTCATTTTTAATATTTATAATTTAGATTACATTTAAATCATTTTAACTTTTTCAAGACTGTAGTTTTATTAATAAAAATAATAATAAATATTACATCATATAAAAACAAAATTGATCATTTAGTAATTTAAATTAAAAAATTAATTTATTTATAAATATAAAAAAATGGAGGCCTTAAATAATTAGAGGCATAAGACCAATGTCTCAATTGTCAAGCTCTACACGAATCTTAAAAAGTGGTTATTATTCATCAAAAACTAAATAAGGATAGGGTTATCCAAGAACCTTTGTGGTCAGCAATAGACAGGATTCTATTCTTTCCAAATTAAAAACAAAAAAAAAATCACTCACTTCCTCTTTTCTCACCAATGCTGCATGTTGCCACTTTACAAAACAGCTAAAATGTCTTCTTTTGTTGCTCTTCCTGGCCTGCATGGCTCTTTTAGATCACAGTTTCTAGGCCAAAATAACCTCACTCATCTTTACCCTCGCAACAAGGCTTCCATCATTCACACCAAACCAATAACAGCACAACCGTGTGCAAAATTTAACTTGCTGCAAATCTTGGGAGGAAGAGGACTATGCAATGGAGAAGAAGGCCTTCAGCTAGAGCTGAAGAAGCAAGTTGGTGTTGATGAGAAGACACCAGCAGCAAGTGAAAAGGAGCAAGAGGAGGACTCAGCAACACAGGCCTTGGCAAGTGTTGCTGCAGAAGATGGTTTTGAGAAGGAACTGATGGGGTTAACTGGGGGGTTTCCAGGGGGTGAGAAGGGGTTGAAAAAGTTCATTCAGGAAAACCCTCCTCCAAAACGAAGTCAAGGGAGCAAAAGTGTGAAATTGTCAGAGAAGCCAAAACCACCAGACCTACCTCTGTTGTTGCCAGGGATGATTGCCATTGTGAAGAACCCAAATAACCCATTTTACATGTACTGTGGGATTGTGCAAAGAATCACAGATGGGAAGGCAGGGGTTCTATTTGAAGGAGGTAATTGGGACAAGTTGATAACGTTCAGGTTGGAAGAACTTGAGCGCAGAGAAAAAGGCCCTCCAATGAAGAACCCTAAGTCTGCTGTGCTTGAACCCTTTCTAGAAAAGAAATCATAGTACAACACTTTGTTTCAATTTGCCAAACATGTTCACTTTTGTGTCATATGTGTGTGTCTGTCTTTCTGACAAATAAAGCACAGTTGAGAATTGCCCTCACTCCTACTATGTTCTTACCTACTTCAATCACTATACGTGGCAGCACTCTAATCAGTTCAAGCAATTATTTCAAACTTCGATTATGGACGCGACCGCACGATTGAATTAGTGTTATGATATATTCATACTTGAAATATCTTTTTCTTTACTGAATTTTTTTTGCTAAGGTTTACTCTTCAGTGCACAGTGAATACAATATACTATATATGCAGATGATTATTGAAATAATTTAATTTTTACAGTTATTCCAAAATATCTTTATTAAACATAATTTTTTTTCACAACGTAGACTAAGTTATTAGAAACGCATGTGACAAAAGTAAATTTCTAAATAACTTATCAATATATAGTTATTCTTTTTTACGTTACAGGCTAAGTCATTAGAAACCTCCTTCAATTCTCACAGATGGATCCTTTCATCTATGTGATTTTAGTGATTAGTAGAGTTAGGATATCTCCTCGAGTTCCAAATCAATATCTATACATACAACACTACACACATGAAAATACCCCTTGGTAATTCTTATATCACAACACCACATTTTCAATACATGTAATAACATTCAACACATATCATTTCATATTCATAACATATACTTTAATAACTTAAGGCACAAATACATCATTTATCAAATTATAACCTAACATAATTTTTTTCTAACTTGACATCTACCTATTCTTTTAATCATAACTTTTTTGGTAGACATTCTTTTTAACTAATTTTTATTTTATTGGATTTCTTATTCCCGGGCTTCGATTTTCACATATAGAACATTAAATTTGGATATCAGAGCTATTTTTTATGATTTTTCAAAAACTGTTGAGCAAATATGAAAGCGCTGAGTGAATTTTAACACACTAAGCGAATTTAAAATCGTTGAACGAAATTTTGACAGAATGAAACCTCTAATAATGTCCAAAATTCACTAGCCAAATTTGAAAGGGTTGAGCGAATTGCAAGCGCTTTCAACAATATCTTAAATTCGCTAAGTGAATTTAAATCCATTGGGCGAATTTGTGATAGTAGCAGACTGCATAATCTACTCAATACCCTGTTTCTAATGTTACAAATCAAGTTAATTCTAAACCTTACCCTCCTTATTGTAGATTAATTTACTAAATTCAATCCAAGAACAATACATTCATACAAAATACTATATTTTTTAATCTCATATTAATCAATTATATATTCACATTCAATATCATCATCATCATAAATAAACACATACAAAATCACACAATCTGAATTCTTGAAACTTAAATAATGTGACCAAATTACCTTCACAATCCAAATCTTCTAGTCTAGAGTACTATGAAAATTGAAGAATAATTAACTTCCCTTACCTTAATACAGTGCCTCAAAGTTAAAGAACTCTAAAAACTCCTAAATTTTCAAGAAGATTGATCCTACTCACAAAAAACTCAAATTAAAAAGGAAGGTATCCTGTACACAAAAATAAGAGAGTCATCGCCAAAGAGCCGAGACGCTATCCCGTTTTGCCAGATGGTCATCTCGCCACATGGCGAGACGACCGTCTCACCACTTGTGAGGTGAGACGGCCGTCTCACCCATGACAGACGCGAATCCCTATAAATAGGTCTTTTCCCCTCCTCATTTAGACACTTCTTCACAGATTCCGAGTCCTTATACTCTTCTTAAACCTCTCTTACGCATTTCCAGAGTTCGAGTACTCTTTTTAGACACTCTATAGTTAGAATTCTTCTGTTGATAGAGACGTGAGCAGCGTTGTAGAGTGAGGAGATAGCCAAAAAGCATCCTCAATCTTCGAACACTTAATACAAAGCTTGCTTTAGAGGTTTTTTTTACATACTCTCTTTTATTGCCTTCTTCATAGCTTTCTTTGTATGCATATTAGATATTATGGTCATGTACACGTTTAATTTTTGTAAGTAGATGAAATAATAAGGGTGAAAACGTAATTTCTTTAACTTTATTTTATAAGCTAGTCCATCATAGGGAACCTGAAAGAGGCGTTGTGGGGTGCTAACACCTTCCCCACACGTAACTAACTCCCTTATCCAACTCTGGTTGTAATGACCAAAGTTGATTTTTTCTAAAAACCACTGCCTTTTTACCTTTTTTCAGTGTTTAAGGTTAAAACACTGGTTGCGACTCCATCGAATCTTTACGAAAACCTCGTCTTTAGGTCCAACCCAGTTATCGAACAACCTAAAAGTGTTGAACACCTCCTTTAAAAAATGCGAGTCATATAAAAATCATCGCATCGCTCCGATCGCCTATTTTGACGGCGGCGACACTTAATAAAAATTATAACTCTGTTTTAGTCATTTTCAATCTATATATAAATTGTTTGAATTTTTCTTTGTAATTAGGTTCCTTCCATCCAAGGTTGCATTACAGGCTATCACAAAGAGCATTAAGCAACAATTTCTCTAACCTTGGACTACATTGGGAGTAATACTTGATAGTGAAAAAGAGTCTTTCTATCAATGTTTTAAGATAACTTGTAATTTTTTTCACACTTGATTATCTCTCAAGCATAATATTTTTCTTATTTGTCCATAATTTGTGTAACAATTTATACTAATATAGATGAAGGTTAAATTGTGATCAGAGTATGAACTCCAAATAAAGAAAAATTTTCATTTCAAAATGTCTAACAAACTTAGTGGGATATTTAGAAATGCAAGAATTGTTGGTTAAAGGTCAAATTGGATTGGAGAGCACATTTGGAGTAGGTTGTTAGGATATTGGAGCTCACCAATGTAAAGCTCCCAAATGTGTGCAAGCCCAACAAATACACTACAAAAAAAATCAATATTATCTACGGGTAAAATCCGTAGGTAATGTCACTTTACCTACGGATTTCTTTCCGTAGAAAATCCGTAGGTAATTTGGTCGTAGGTAATTACCTACGGATTTATAATCCGTAGGTAATGCACTCGCGGTATTATTTATTATTATTATTAGATTAAGGGAATTGTCATTGGCAGGATTCGAACCCAAGTACTTCGAGTTGGAGGTCGATACTCCAACCACTAAGCTATTAGGATATTTTGAAAATAAATTACAAATAAATTATATTTATATTTATCCGTGTAAATATAGAAATATAAAATATATAAATATAAAATATATAAATATAAAATATATAAATATATAAATATAAAATATATAAATATAAAATATATAAATATAAAATATATATAAATATAAAATATATATAAATATAAAATATATATAAATATAAAATATATAAATATAAAATATATTTATATTTTGATATATTTATATATTTATATATTTATATATTTGTATTTATATATTTATATTTATATATTTATATATTTATATATTTATATATTTATATTTATATATTTATATATTTATGTATTTATATATTTATATATTTATATATTTATATATTTATATATTTATATATTTATATATTTATATATTTATATATTTATATATTTATCTATTTATAAATTTATGTATTTATGTATTTATATATTTATGTATTTATATATTTATGTATTTATGTATTTATGTATTTATATATTTATGTATTTATGTATTTATGTATTTATATATTTATGTATTTATATATTTATGTATTTATGTATTTATGTATTTATATACTTATGTATTTATATATTTATGTATTTATATATTTATGTATTTATATATTTATGTATTTATATATTTATATATTTAAATATTTATATATTTAAATATTTAAATATTTATATATTTAAATATTTAAATATTTATATATGAGAAATATTTAAATATTTATATATTTAAATATTTAAATATTTAAATGTTTATATATTTATATATTATATATATTTATATATTTATATATTTATATATTTATATATTTATATATTTATATATTTATATATTTATATATTTATAATATTTATATATTTATATATTTATATATTTATATATTTATATATTTATATATTTATAATATTTAATATATTTAAATATTTAATATATTTAAATATTTAATATATTTAAATATTTAAATATTTATATAGTATTTATATATTTATGTATTTATATATTTATGTATTTATGTATTTATGTATTTATGTATTTATGTATTTATGTATTTATATATTTATATATTTATATATTTATATATTTATATATTTATATATTTATATATTTATATATTTATATATTTATATATTTGTATATTTATATATTTGTATATTTATATATTTGTATATTTATATATTTATATATTTTATATTTTATATTTATATATTTATATATTTTATATTTTATATTTATATATTTTTATATTTATATATTTATATATTTACACGAATTAATATAAGTATAATTTTGTTGTAAATTATTATTAGAATATCCGTAGGTAATGTACATTTTACCTACGCATAGTAATTACGTAGGTAATTACCTACTGAATTACCCACGGATGATATTACCTACGGATAATATCCGTAGGTAATGGATAATTACCTACGGATAGAATTCCGTAGGTAATATCCGTAGGTAATGTACAATTAGAATTCCGTAGGTAATATCTGTAGGTAATGTATAATTTACCTACGGATTTAATCCGTGGGTAATATCCGTAGGTAATGTAAAATTTACCTACGGATTTTTATCTGTGGGTAATATCCGTAGGTAATGTAAAATTTACCTACGGATTTTTATCCGTAGGTAATATCCGTAGGTAATGTAAAATTTACCTACGGATTTGTATCCGTAGGTAATATTCCGTAGGTAATAGGCTTTTTTTTTGTAGTGATAGGGCATTTGAAAAAGGTTGAAACCTACACATAGGTGGCTCTATGAACATGTAATACATATGGTAAGTCTTTCAATAATATATTTATGATTATATATCATGAACTGGGTTGTATAATTCTTATTTTATGAAATATTATACAAGCAAAGAAGCTTGAAAGATCTATTTTTGTTGATGAGATATTTCAATAGACCTATACACATAAGAAAACATCAGTTTGTTGATGAAAGGTATAGGAAGGCATACATAATTTTTCTACCTCCTAACTTTGTTTTCTATGATTAGTAAAGTTAATCATGTCAATAATTTCTTTTTTTGTACTTATAAGAAGAATTTGAAACTAGACTTTCATAAGCTAAGTTATTTGTTTTCTGACAAAATTTTGATGGTTTCTAACAACTTATGTCCATCGTTAAAATCAGTATATTTTGTAGTGAATCTATTTTGATCATAGCACATTTTATTGCCAAAATATGATCAAACATTGCAATATAGGAGAATATGCAATAACAAGAGGAAAACATAGATTGTATTCTAGAGCCGCGTTGAAAAACTTGTTATAGACTCAATTCTCACTTTTAAGAGTTGGGAAAAGGGGAATTGTGTGAGTTTTGTATTGGAAACCAGTAAAAGAAAACAATAAACCTAAATTATAATGAAAACAATAAAACTAGCCTACTAATTATGTAGTAAATAAAATATTAAAAGTAAGAGAAAAATAGAAACAATAATGAAAATAGTAAATATGTACTTTTGGAGATTTAAATGTACCCACAAAATAAATCCATAAGAATTATAAATATTCACAATCAAATTTGTTAAATTAAATTGATAAGAATTATAAATATTCACAATCAAATTTATTAAATTAAATTGATTCTTCACGTTCAATTAACCTAAAAGTATAATTCAACTTTTAAACGAAGCAATAACATTACCCTAAAAATTGATTTATGATACAAATTAAGAAATTCAATAAAAAATCACAATTACATTTATTGTAATTAACTGTAAATAGTGACAATCATAACTAATCAAATCTAAGCTATAAAAAACAATAATTTCATTGAAAAGTCAACCTTAAAAAGCTAGAAATTCATGACAAAATTAAGATCAACATAAAATCAGGAAAGAGAAGAAGAAAAAGTGCATAAAACAATAAAGGAAATCTAAATTATGGAAGATAAATGAAAACAATAGAGAAAATGAAACAAATATGGTTTAAAGTATTTTAAATTGGCAAACTTTAAAGTAGAATTCATACAAATACAATAGACAAAAGGTTATAAATTTTATTCTAAGAACTTGAGAAAAGTTATCTAAAAATTTAGAGAGATCGACATAGAAAGTATAAAAATAAATATAATTTATCTCTTTTGGTTTTCTTATATCTTTGATATACAATGAACCCAATGGAAATGCACAAGACTTACACATGACCCAGAATAACTATGTTAGATCAATTGGAGTTCCAATAGTCAATTATACTTTACAACTTTGCGATAAAGATTTTTCGCTAAGATAAATAAATTATATAGATGATATATTCTTTTTATCATTTCAAACAAAATATCACAGCACGTGTTTTCAATTCTCCTTAGTACATTCTCTTTTAGAAAGACCCAAAAATGTTTACAAACACTTCTGCAACCCAAAGCAAGAAGCTTAAACATAATTAAAAAGATTAAAACCTCCTATACTCTATCATGGGAACTTAGGAACATAAATATCCCTTCCTGAACTTTTGACGCGATCTGGTCTAATTCTCCAACCATCTAGAATCTTCTGTAATTCCTGAGGCCGACAAGGGACTGCAAGAGTTCCTTGCTGATTGAAACCATACTCTTCTCCAGCTTGATCCAAGAGTCCCAAGAATGCAGGATTAGTCAAGTAATCTAACTCCACAACAAACCTTTTTATTTCTCCATCTTTGATTGCAATAACAGCAAAATACCCTTTACTAACATCACCTGGCACAACATTTATGGTCTTCAATTGATTTTCATTCACGTAGTTGAGTGCAGGCTTTCCAGGCCCAATTTGTGAGACACCCTTTTGTATCTTTCCAACAAAAGACCTAATCATCTTGAATTCCACTACTGAGAACTGAGAACGATGATTTGTGCGTGATATTGGAATTAAGTGAGAACATTAAACTTGGGGTGTGTATAAGGAGGAATTGGGTATTTATATTGTGATCATAAGGAAACATACACGAAGTTTCTTGTGTGGAACCATCCTATTGCATTGATTATTAATTAATGCGTTATTTGACAGGTGGTGGGTCAAATCTTTAATCATAAAATAAAAATGGCGATGGGAAGAAAAGATTGCCGTGTTTCATGACTTGTATTGTATATATCATTAAGCTTAAGCCACCCTCTGTTTTCTTGGAGTTGACAATGACATTGAAATAAGACAGATATCAGAAGGTAAATCTAGGTTTGGTTTAATAATTCACTTCATACTCTCAGAATTCAATTTTAACGGTTGCATAACATGGTATAATTTAAGTATTATTAATGATTAAAAACACGTGTTTGATAAAAACAAACTAAAAAAACTAAGGTGACTTTTACATGAAGTAAAACAAAAATATTTAAGGGAAAAAAACAAAGAAGCAAGACATGTGAATGTCTAATAATATTATATCTTATTTAGAGTATATTAGACAAGAAACGGGTAGAGAAAATAAAAATTATGATAAAAAAGAAAAGAATAAATAGAAAATTACTAAATTAAAAAACATGTAAAAGAGAAAGTGATTCATCTTTATTCATTCATTATGAGTATACAAAAAGATCCTTTAATATAAAGTTATTTTAACTTATATGTAGAAGTTACTTTGACGCTCATGTCATTGGATAAGTAAAAAGTATATAAGAGATTTTGGATTTGATTCATATATTGGGACCTCTGTCCATTAATAGTACTGTGTATGAGTTGTTTTTATGGATCTTAGTCTTTGGATTATCTCTCTTTAACCATACATGCTTGTTGTGATTGTGTGCTCCACCTCTGCAAGATAAATATTTATGTGCTTTGCCTACCTCAACATAGTGTCCTTCTTGCAGGTTGTACCTGCACTGATGCGCTCAGAGTCGTATGTCTACAGTAGGTGTATGGTCTTACATCTACTGTATACCTACGGTACATGGCCCCCAAGTTCGATGGAACGAGGTGATAAAGAATTTAAGATACTTCGACGTTAGTGTCCAACTATCAAATCCGGTAGGATGTCTACCAAACCTTTCGTGTTGAGGGCCTGATGTGAGATGATGTCTTGGGAAGTATAGTATTCCAAGCAGGATAACGATAAGTTAGGACTTGATGTGACATTCATGTTGAGGAGGTGTGTGTTGTGTGTTATAGGATTGTGTAGATCGAACGACGAAAGACTTGTGATGCTTTGATTTTCGTATCTGCCCCATGTAAGTATGTGGTAAGCCTTCTATTGCGAATTACATGCGTTTCATTCTTCGATACTCGACAGGAATTTTCATATCGTGTACCTTCCAAGATTTTCATTTTTGTCTTCAATTGCCTAAGTGAGATGTCTTTTGTTTCGTCTTCTGTGACCGAGAGTTTGTCGAGTGGGTTTGTCGTGCGGTGTATTAGGGAGACTGCCGACCACAAAGACGAAGACGGTGCAGCCGTTAGTATGACCTTATTGGTGACTGCTGAGACAACTGACAGGGTGATGATGGGGTGCCTACTCGCCCAACGAAGATGCTCAACTCGCACTTGATCAAGCTGAGACGGACTTGCCTCCTTCGGGGTGTTATACTTGGGTGGGCCCCGCATGAAGGAATATACATCTAATTATAGGTTGGTGTTTGTACTAACATCATTTGTCACGAGCCAACAAATCAAATTGGTTGACTTTCCCTCATCGGCCAACCATCAAATACTCTTTTTGAAGTGTATACCTCTTCGTTCATGAATATTAAGATAGGCTTTTTTAAGGAGCTAGTGAAGCGAGATGGGCGACGTTTTTTCTATGATGGGGATCGTGTCAAGTTTCCGTTTTACTGGACTATTGACCCTTTTTGCCATCGTCATTGACCGAGAACAAACATGAGTTCGACTGATACCCGCACCCTAGAAGTGCTCGATAGGCTACCTCGACGGCTACCCACCCACAAACTTCTTAGGGCTTATTTGTCCCCTCTCTGTCAAAGTGACGTTTTCGGTAAAGTGTTAGTCCTTTCTTTCTTGCTTTATATTCTCATTGTTGATCATGTTGAATTTTTCGTCTATATGCAAACTCATGGATGTTGCTTTTCCCACAAGCAAAGACCTCTTTTGACAGTTGAGAAGTGAAAACCTTGGGTCGATCGAGAAAGGGAAGGTGCCCGCAACTGTGGAGGCTCCCCCTAGCGTGGATTCTCATCCAGTCCTTGGGCCACCCCCGATTGACGCTCAATAGAAGTATAAGAAGCGAGAGGGAAAACGTTATGGGGAGAGTCCTTGGGAGAGGTCACCGAAGCGTCCTCAGTTGGCGGGGACGGAGGTTGATTACTCCATGTTCCTTGGGAAAGATCTACATGTTTCTAGCAAGGTGAACATTGCTCTGAACTCCTCGGGGAAGGATGTGTATGCCTCGGTGCAGAAGTAACTAAACCCAAAAAAAATTCTCACTAGACATTAAGATAATTACTTATTTAGATGTAAAAATTCATTTCCAAAGATTATAAGGTGGAGAGAAGGAGAACGAAGTAAGAAAAATTAAGCAACAGGGCTGAGAATGAACCAATCCTTAAAGTAAAAGTTAATGTGACAAAGAAGCTAAGGAAAGAAAGAAGAAAATGGAAGTAAGAGAAGGGTGGTGGTAGTGGTAGGACGTCACTCTCAGTGAGGTTGTTTTCACTTGAACTAAAATTCAAGATAAAATTCAAAGAGAATAATAACACTCAAAAGTATTCTTACAAACTTCTTATTAATCATCATTTAGAAAAAAATTGTCTATTTATAGGCTTTTTGGAAAAGAGGCGTACAAGAAATAATAAAAAGGAAGACATAATTTGACTTAGAAACTATGTGTCATGTCACTCATGTTGAATGACCATCCCAATATAACTAAGACTTTCCATCACTAGCACAAAGAAAAGAAGTACCAAAAGAAGGTGCTGGTAATAATGCCTTTGATACTAATAATATTAACAGAAAAATTGAAGATGATAGATGAAGATTAGGATTTCGAGATGATCAAATCTTCATACTTTGGTTGAATTTTTCAAACAATTAAAATTATAATATAATATACATTTTCCTCTTTAATTAATATAATTGTATTATGTTTTTCTTATATATACATATCACATTATAATTATAATTTATAACATTCTAAAAAATAGTAAATAAAATTATTTTTAATATAAAATAAAATATTTATAAATCTTACTATTTTATATAAATAAACATATTAACATAATTTCTCAAAAAATTTAAACTAGAAAACACACATAACCTCACTTAAGTTAAGTAAAACAACAACTTAAAACGATGCTCGATTAAACGAAGAAAACAAACTTAAAGCAACATATGTTAAGCCAAACTGAACTTGTTTTGAACTATAACATTTAGTCACCTAAGCAACTGCAAAAAATTATTTGTCTTCAACTTCGCTCACTTAAGTGTGAATTATTACACGCATTACCGTGCTTAAGCGACTAAAACAAATATTCAATTCCTATGTTTATATTGTTGTTTAAGCACCACATAGGTTTCGCTTCAAGCATTAAGACACATTTTGTGTCTCACTTAAACCTTCCAAACACTCACTTATGACCATTTTTTTGGCTCTTCACTTGAGGGCAAAATCTCTACCACTCAAGTAATGTTCTGTGACAACGTGTTACCTCACAGTTTAAATAGAGATGAAAAATGGTGCATCCAGTGGCTCAACATAGCTAAAATAGAATGTTGGTGAATGATACGATGGTTGGTGACAAACGTACTAGGTGGCAAAAGTTGTGGGTGACACGTTGGTAGGTGATAAACGTGGTGGGTGGTAGGTGGCACAGTGGTGATGCAGCAAACGTAGTACGATGGTATAAGCAAATGGTGGCGGGTGACAATGCAGTAAGGGCAGCAGTAAACGGTGGACAACATAGTGGAGATTGGTTCTGATGAGTCCTTAGTTATCTAGAAGACCGGAAAGGTTTTCGTTTGAAGGATCGTTAGAAACATGATTAAATGGGAGATATTTTTCTCTTTCTCTATTTTTAATTTTTCTTAACATTTTTTTTTAATTTTAGATATTCATTTTGTTTATTTTTTTTAAGAATATTTTATACATTTCTTTTTTGAAGACCGTTATCTTTTCTTGTTGAAAAAAAAAATTTGGACAAGATGTTTGTATTGGCTGTCCAAAGGTGCAGGACACTCCTATATCATGTCGTATATCCTTTTTTGGAGAATAAGAAATTTTGGATGTAGGATTTGTAGGTTTGGAGCAACCTAAAAAGAAGTATACTTTTTTTTTTTAAGTTCTCCACCACCTAGTTAAGACGAAGTTAACATATTTGAATCATAAGGACTCTAATTTTTAGGTTTATGTTAAGTTTATGTTTGATTTTGTAATTTCATCTAAGTTTTTTTCCTAAAAACCTATAAATAGAACGTTTCTCTTATGTAATTAGGTTGAACATTTATAACAAGTTTGTAAGATTTTTTAGAGTGTTTTATCTCTTTAAGTATTTTATCTTGAACTTTGGTTGAACTTGCGGCAACCACCACTTATCTAGGGTGATTTATCTCCTAGTGACATATCAACACTCCATCACCACCATACTTCTCTTCTCTTCATCTTTTCTTCTTTATTTTTTCACTTCAATTTTTAAAATTTTGTCTTTATTCTTTTCTAGTTTTCTTATCTCCTCTTCTTTCATAATCATTAGAAATAAGAGAATTTTTTTAAAATTCATTTATTTTATTACTTAAAATTATGTAGCTTACTTTGTTTTACGCCAAGTTTCACATGACACACTATTGTAAAGACAACCGGAAATGATGGCACAACACAATGAAGATTGTTTCGTAATTAGGATCGTTCGTTGGAATAGAGTGAGTGGGAAAGTGGGTGAAAATTCTTATAAGAGCGAATACTGCATCTGTTCAAGAGGAAGTGATACAGTATCCTCTCAAATTTTCAAAAATATCACCGTGACTTATAGTACATTGATTTTAGCACAACTACTATCATATTTTATAAAATGTTATAAAATGTTAAAATGTGCTCCATGCACTAATGTATCTGTTACAAAATATATCACTAATTATAAAATATTATGTTGTGATAACATACTCTTCTGTGACGAAATGACACCCTCACAAAATTTCGTTACTAACTTCAAATGTTTTTGTTCAATGACAACCTTTGTGACAATATTTTTTTGTGACTAACATCATCACAAATATATTTTTTTTATACTCATTAAATATCATCTCATTGACAATACAAATTGGCGTAAAAAAAATGTTTTGTTTAGTGTACCAGCACATGGTTCACTGTTTTTTAAACATACAACATCAAGTGACCGCCATTATAAATCTAAGAAAACCCTTGTCACACCATATCTTTTTCCTATTGAAAACCTAACTTCTCTCTATACACTTCCAACACCTGATAAAACAAAAGAATCAATACCTTACAGGAAAAAAAAATACAAGAGCAAACAAAATGCCTTGTTTTTAGGAACATGTTTGGATGAAAAACTAACTTTGTTTAGGGTTTCTATATTAAAAAAAATCCCAAAAAACCTTCAAATTTGTATCCAAAAACATACTTTAAATATGATAAGTTGCATGCTCGGCAAATAACAAGGCACCCTGCGATTTCTCTTGCTGGAAATCATAGCATGTCATGGTTCAAGAGGATTTCCATCACAAAATTTTCAATCAAACTGACTTAAAATCACCGGAGACCTCGGTGGAGGGCACATTAACTTCTGCTCCACCATGCCATCAAACACTTTCTCATAAGCAGATGATGTAGACCTCACACTCCCTTCAACATGTTCAACCTGTCTTTGGAATATCAAAATAGAGGTCTTAGCTGCAGAGTTCAAATCCGTCAAAGCATCCCCAAGAGGTCCTAACACAGGCTCCTCCAACACAGGATCCACCGTTTGTGCCAATGACATCTTCCTCCCATGCCCTCTTCCCAACACATACAAATCAAAACCTTTGTTCCCTATCTTGTCCAAAAGTTTAACTGTTTCCCTCTCATCCCTCACCACCTTCTCCAAATACCTCACCCTTGGCGAGTCCCCCATTTGTTGCTTAAACCCCTTGATGAACTCTTTGTCCGCTTCGTCAAACTCATCATTAGGGTTCTCCCAAACAAGCCTCACCAACGTTAAATTCACCTCAGAACTCCTAGTCATTCTCCATGCATAAGAGAGCGCTTCACGGTCATCAGCACCAGCAACGTAGAACATAGCCACACGTAGCTCCTTGGAACGCTTGTGATTCACCCCTCTATCCACAAATATGGCCACACAACACGATGCGTCTCTAACTAGATTCTCTGACACCACTTTCTTCTCGTCTTTTCTTGCATGGTCACGGTTGATGATGTTGACAGCTCTAGCAGTTGCAGCACCTGCTCCTAAACCATCGTAGGTTGGTTGCTTGTGGAATGTGGATAGGATAAGTGTCACACCTCTGCGTCTTGCGAGGTTCAGGATGTCCGTGTGCATAGAGTTATAGTCTGAGATGATTCTCATTTTCTCTGCGAAGATGGCTTGGCTGAGATTGTCGAAGCATCCAAGGGTGTCTTCGGAGTCTTTCTTCAAAGACTTTGATGTGAAGGATGGTTTTCGAGCGTCCCTTATGATGAGTGATGAGGCAGGGCGGTTGGTCATTTTGCTCAGTTCCACTGCTAGAACTTGGATTGGGGTTCTCACAGAGGGACACGACGCTTTTAAGAGGTCTATAATCACCTTGGCGTCGCGCTTTGTGTGGATGCAGGCAAGTAGTCTGAGGGGTGAGTCTGGTTGTGTGTCTTGCATCCTGCGTTGGCCTCCCATAACCATTCTGCTTTTGAAGGCTTTTATTAAAGCTGATGAGACAGGTCCCACAGGAATTGTCATTAACCAGCAGCCCAACAGCATCACCCCAAAGGTTTGGTTGTCCAGTTCCTACATCACATACACGCAAATATATATTCAGAAAGGAAAATGATAAATAGACACCAAAACAAATTATAACACGCATTCAACACCTTAACCAAAAAGTTAATGAAAAAAAAAATTATAATAATAAACCAAGGCTTATGTATGAGAAAAAGCAGTGGTACATCAATCATCACCCAAATATATTATATGGTTTTTAATTTATAAAAATTTAATAATAAAATCTGAATAATGTGGTATAAGACAGTTTAATGGTTTTTACTTAGCAGCCGCAATATCTAATATATAACCGAAAAAATTAATAAAAGGAAAAATACTATTATTATATACACAAAAACAGTTATCTTTTAGATGTTTGGTACTCTTGTCTACAAACTTCACCGTTTTTTCTTTCTTTAGACTTTGTTGAGTTGGAGTTAGCATATTTACATATCACTCCGTCCGTCATGATCCTTTTGAGGATTACCAAGTGAATTTAATAAGATAAATGAATTATTTTAAGGAAAATGATACATACACACCCTAAATTAATTTTATAATAAAAAAATGAGAAATAAGAGGGTTCGACGTTGTTTTTTAAAAAAAAATTAAAAAATAAAAAATATTTAGGTGTTTACCACTCAACACTCTTATATCCAACCTATATTCTTGCATGTATGCTCGTCATCTCGTAATATATAAGACTTAAGCAATAAAAAATTCCAGATCACACTCTTATAATTTAAAAAAGATTTGTTTTTATTCTTTAATAGTTATAAGGATGAGTTTTTTTATTACTAACTGGCACTAAATTCCTACTTAGGATTTACAAAATTGAATTCCACATTTACCATTGTGATATCACTGTTACCTTGTGTTTGGATAGAAGAAATATAGATGCTAATTTATTTTAATAGAGTATTTGAAATATTTTATGAGAAAATTAATGGTTTGGACAGAGAATTTGAAAGGTAATTGAGATTCGATAGACCGACAATGATGTTGTAATTATTTAAAATAAGTGAATTTTAAATTTTGCATAAATTAAGAATTTAAAATTTTTAATATTTTTAAATTTATGTCTCTATTCTTTATATTTCACATTTACTCAATCTCAATTGAAATATATTTTACTCTTCTTAACCCATTTCAACATAAATTAAATAAATATGATATATTCTGATCATCGAACTATTTTGATTTAATTGTTCTATATCTGATCCATCATATATTGACTTGACTCAACTTATATTTTGACTTAGTTCAACTCATCACAAATTGACTTATTTTAACATTTCTTGGTTAGGTTTAATCTAACTAGTCAAAGTGGATTTGACTCAAATCAACCTAACATATTTCAACTTGACTTTTCTTAGTATAATTAGATTTATCTTACGTATCTTAACTTCTCACAACCCCGACTCAAACCAAGTGGCGGATCTTGACCATTGATCTTAGGGGGCCAAATAATATATTATTAATAAATATAAAAAGAAGAAAGAAAATAAAAGGCTAAAAGGATAAAATTGTAAATATATACTTAAATATATTAAATTATCATTAAGTTAGAGAGACACAAAATCATAAATTATATGAGAGTTATAAAATTGAGGAGAGACTGAGAGAATAAAATTGTAAATATACAAGTAAATATATTAAATGTTAATTAAGTTTGGGGGCCAAAATTATAAATTACATGGGAGTTACAAAACTTTGGGGGTCACGCCCCTCAACTCCCAAGAAGATCCGCCACCGACTCAAACAATATAATCTTGTTCTATTTACTTATAATTCGACCTAACTCATTCGGACCTAACTTGACTCAAGATAATCTGATTCTCCCCATACACCTTGACTCCAATCTCAGCCTAAAAGAACTTGACTCAACCTTTTTAACTTAATATAATTTATTTTGATTGGACTTACTCTTAATGGTTTGGTCTATTTTTACTTCACTTTCAATCTAGTATGGCATAATTTTTCTCAATCTAACCTTACACATGTGGACAATGGCAAAGTATTATTGATTTAACCTAATTTGCAATATAATAATAATTTTTATAATAATTTTTATAATAATTTTTATATTTGATAATAATTGAAATATTTTATAAAAAAATCAATTATTTTATCCAAACAAATTATTTGAAATTGAAGAATTCAAATTTAACTTATTTAAATTTTCTAAAAATTATAAAATACCTTATAAAAATAAAGTTAAGGTTTTGAAAGTCCCTGGCCTTAAAGATCACAAGACCAATATATAACCTTGCTAGAGTTAAATTTAGGTCAGGGCCGAGATGGTTGACTAGATATGTACCAATGCATAATAAATATATAGCTTGTAACCTTGTGAAGTTTGAAAGGTAACTTACGCGTCTGTCCCTGCCGGCGCAGAGAATGATCAATGGCATGATTCCTTTAGTGTTCATGAGGAGGGCAAGGGATAATCCTTCCATGTGCGGCATCTGGTAGGACCAAGCGACCGCCATAGTGCACACCATCTTCGTCAACAAGGCCAACACAACCACTGCCACCACAGTTGTGCAATGTGTGTCCAAGGCCAAGTCTTGGATTATAATCCTCTCTCCAACAGCTACAAAGAACAAAGGCATCATGAAAATAGCCACAAAGTCATGAACCTTGTCCTCCACGGTATTGTTAAGCGCCCCCTGAGGGATCAGAACACCCAAAAAGAAAGCCCCAGTTATGGAAAGCACACCCAATCCATCGGTTAACAACCCAATAACCAAAACCACATGCAGCACGAATATGACTTGTGAATCAAGGAACTCTCTATCCCCCGTTCCCACATTGTTGAATAGCCACTTGAAAAAATGGTTAAGTGCCACAAAACACACTATCACAATCAACAAAGTGATGATAAATGATGCCACAGAAGCGTGGTAGAATTGTGTTAGGACCAACACAAGAAGGGTCCATGAAACTAAGTCGTTGATGAGAGAAGCTGTGAGAGCCAGTTGTCCATTCTCCGTGAGGAGAAGCTTAAGATCTGAAAGGATCTTTGCAATCTCAGGGAACTCACTGCTGCAAGAAAGGGTGATTCCCCATAATATTGCACCCTTTGGTCTAACGTTTTCACTGGACAAAGGTTTTCGGGCCATGTCGGTGACAAGCATGTAGTACAAGCCAAACCCTATCGGTATGGGGAAGATTGTGCCCGCAATGGCTATAACTGTGGCCTTTTTGTGCAACCTCATTATTGGTTTCAAGTCTATCTCTAGGCCCACCAAGAACAGGTAGTAAACAAGGATCACCGATCCCACCGTCTCCAATGGTATGACGTTGCTGAAAGGAAATAGGTGTTGCAGAAAAGGTTTCCAACGTCCCAGAATAGATGGACCTATCAGAAAACCAGTCTTGGAACATAATTACAAAAGTTTAAGTTAGTTAGTAATCATTAATCAATCAAAGCAAATTACTTATCAGACATGTTTGGAACAATTCCTGTAAAAGAGAACAATCGTTTATTTAAAAAAGAAATGTGATAAGCAATTATCATTACAACCGTGAGATAAAACCTTTTCATCTCACGATAATCGTACTGTGACTGCAATTGCAACCACACCAACCAAACTATTTCACAATTTCTTGCAATATTAAGAATGGCAAGGGAACCCTAAACTATGATCACGACTGAAAAGCAATCTACAATCACAAAGGTTTCTATTCTTTATCTTATTATATCTTCGTTTGTTGTTCTGTTATTTTGACCTTGTTAATGAATTCAAAGCGAGGATATTAACATCATCATCATCATAAGCTGAAAAGTACTTACAAAAATATTGGCAACAATACGAGGTACATGGTATAGTTCTGCAAGAACGAGCAGAAAGCGGTTGAGTGCTAGGATAATGGCAAATTGGAGAACAAATGAAGGAAGTGTTTTCTCCACGGAATTTTCCAGCCAAAGGGCGGAACCGTGGTACGTAGTTCTATTGAAACAGGCCTTGAGATCGTTGTTCAAGTCTATGATAATGGAATCAATGGTTTCGAAGTTGGAGGAATTCATCTGAATGACTCACTCCGATAGAGCAATTTTTTCTTTTATCTTGGCAGTCTGATTCACTTTTTTGTTCTTCATAGTTAAGAGAAATATAAAAAGGGAGAAGGAATGGGTTTTGGCAAAAGTGTCCAGCTAGATATCGTAGTATTATGATTCAGATTATACGATTGCTTCACTTGCTTGCTTAATTTTAAAGAATTCGTTTTCTTTGCTTAATCATGTTTCTATTTTGAATTCTATTTATGGTGTACATGTATTATCTTGTTGTACTTGGCGTGTAGTTGGTATATTTAAAAAAAAACATTAATTTATGAATTTATTTTTTCGTTAATCTATACCCGTATTTGTTTCTCTCTTCACGTATATTCAAAACATTCACATTTATATAATTATTATTTTTTATTAAATATTGGATAAATTTAGTTTACCAAGAACGATATATTTTAGGAAAACAGTTCACTCCATCTCATTTTGATTTATCAAATACAAAATGAACATTTTATTACCTATTTATCGTGAAATTCAAAAATACTTGACTTAAAAAATTCAGTCATATTTTTGTAAATATAATTGATGCAACTTTTACATCGGACCTAGAAAGCGACTACGTAAAAGTCGCGTTTAATTTTCACCGATGAAAACATCAACATTGTGTCTCATTTGTGATTGTTTATGTTTTTCTCCGATTGGATTCAAGCTTTAGAGCATTTTTGTATATATTCGAAGTTAGTGTTTTATATATCCTTTTATATGTTCAAATTGAATTCGTGATTGTTTTAGAATCTTAATCACGTTATTGCATGAATGTCTCTATTGGATTGTTACTGAAATTAAATTGTTTTAGTTTGTGATTATTCGTTTATTTGTTTCAGTGCATTTTCATTTTACACACTACATTTACATCTCAATCACGTTTTTTATTGTTTGTATATTATTTTTTTTAAATATGAATTTTGAATCTCTAGGAGTGACAAAAATTTAAAACATAGGTACATATGGATCGAAGTTGGATAAATGCATGTCGTATTAGTGAAGAGTACAAAAAGGGAGTAGAAGAAGTTTTGAAATTTGTTCATGAAAATGGAAAACCTATCAAAGGGACATATTATTATCCATGCATTCGTTGTTTAAATCAAATTCGTCATGAACTTGGGGATATATGTGATTACTTGTTTGTTTATGGTATTGTTAAGAATTATACAATATGGACATGACATGGAGAATCGTTGTTGTTGGTTGATCTTAATGAACATAAAATTTTAGAAAACAACTCAGTGTGGTACCTGGAAACAAGGGCGGGTAATCACATGAGTGGAGATGAAAACTTGTTTAAAAAACTGAAGAAGGTGGATGGAAAAAATATATCATTTGGGGACGCCTCAAAGATCTTTGTAAAAGGGCGAGGCACAATTTGATTCTTGTAGAAAGATGGCTTAGTTGGACTAATTTAACATTTGCACTTCGTCCTGGACCTCAAGAGTAATATCTTGAGTATGGGATAGTTAATGGAAAAGGGATACTCAATACTCATGCAAGGCTGAGTATTACAATTGAAAGATAAGCTTGAAAGAGTGGTTGCAAAGGTGGAGATGGGAAGAAAATATAATGTACAAATTGCATTTGAGCATCATTCGGGGAAAATGTCTGAAACTCAAAGTGGAGAACATAAAATTAAGGTGGCATCATCGAGCCATTTGACTTTTGGTGGATTAGCCAAGTTGTCAAGAAAAGGCTTGGTGCTTAGAGTGTCGAGCTTGGAGGGCGAGAACAAATTCTGTGAAGATTGTGTCCTCGGAAAATAGTCGAGGACTCCTTTTTCAATAGAGTCAAGTGCTTTGAGCAGCTTAAACTTGTTCATTCCAACTTATGTAGGTTGATCACCCCTTATTCTTTTAGCGGAAAAAGGTATTTTATGATGTTTGTTGATGAATTTTCTAGGAAAACATGGTATATTTCTTAAACGAAAATTTTGAGGTGTTCAATGTGTTCAAAAGATCCAAGGTGATGGTAGAGAAGACGACTAGGAAGTATATCAGATCAGTCCAATATGATAGAGAAGGAGAATTCACATTGACACCCTTCACGAAGTATTGTGACAATGAATGCATAAGAAGATTCTTTACATCCCCATACTCAATGATGGTGTGATCGATTATGAACATGGTGCGATCGATGTTGAAAACTAAAAACATGTCAAAAGAATTTGGGGTAGAAGTAGTGCAATATGCAATTTATGTACAAAACAGGTGTCCACACACTTAGCTTAATGATGTAACACCTCAAGAAGCACATGGAGTGGTCAAAAGCCATATGTGTCTCATTTCAAAAAATTTGGAAGCATAGCTTATGGAGTTGTACCCTCCTAGCAGAGAATAAAGTTGGAAGACAAAAGCAGGAAATATGTGTTCATTGGATATGATGAGAACACAAAAGCTTACAGGTTGATAGATCCAGTTAGTAAAATAATTGTTATAATTTGGGATGTTCAAGTTGATGAAACTAGCAAGTGGAATTGGAAAGAAGAAAATGTGTTCGAAAACACGCTCAATGACGAGTTGTTGAAGGGTAAGTTGTTGTTGGACAAGTTGTTGCGCCCGAGAATATTAGAGGGCAAGCTCACAAAAGACGGCAAGCTCTTGAAAATAGCTCAATAAGCAAGGAGGAAGAACCATGTCTGAGAATGAGAAGCTTACAAGACCTCTACAACACAACAGATGAAGGGCATGTTGTATGTCTGTTGGCGGACACTGAAAACATCAATTTTGAAGAAGCAGTAGGGGACAAAAGGTGGCGAGCTACCATGGATGACGAGATATGTGTAATAGAGAAAAACGATACGTGGGCTATGACTAAGCTTTCGAATCATACTCGCTCAATTGGTGTAAAATGGGTTTTTAAAAGAAAAATGAATGCAAAAGGGAGGTTAAATGCTACAAAGCTCGGTTAGTTGCAAAAGGATATAAACAAAGAGATGGGGTAGATTATGATGAAATCTTTGCACCTTTAGCTAGAATGGAGATTGGTTTGGCTGCTTATCTCCTTGGTAACACAAAATAGATGGTCCATCAAGCAAATGGATGTGAAGTCTACATCCCTTAATGAAATGCTTAAAAAGGATGTATATGTAGAACAAGCACCCAATTACATGAAGAAGGGTGAAGAAAGAAAAGTTTTAAAATTGAAGAAGATATTGTATGGATTGAAGCAAGCTTCTCCAGCCTGGAATGAACGTCTTGACAACTATTTTAAAGAGAATGATTTTGAACAATGTCCCTTTGAGCTTGCCCTATACATAAAATGGAATGGAAATGATATGATGTTCATCTTTATATATGTGGATGACCTTATATTCTTTAGTAACAACACCAAAATTATCCAAGAATTTAAGATTACAATGACAAATGAGTTTGAGATGACCGATTTGGGTCTGATGAGAATCTTTCTCTGTTTGGAGGTTAGGTAGGATGAAGAAGGGATCTTTATGTCTCAAGAAGCATATGCAAAGGAGATACTGAAGAATTTTAAAATGGCTAGTTGTAGTCCTGTCTCAACCCCCATGGAACCGGGAACAAAATTGTCTAAGTTTGATGGTGAAAGGCAAGTTTATCCGAGTAGATATCGGAGTCTAGTGAGGAGTCTTCGATATCTCACGAGCACAAGGCCTGACTTGTCACTAAGTGTTGGAATTACTAGCAGATTTATGGAGAATTTGAGTTTTCTCATTGGAAAGATCTTAAGTGAACATTAAGACACATCAACGGAACAGTATTTCTTGGCTTATTGTACACAAGTTCGGACAATTACCAACTTGTTGGATATTCAGACAGTGACTGGCGCAGAGATATAGTTGACCAAAAGAGCACATTCGGGTATGTATTTTTCATGGGAAATATACTTTTACTTGGCTCTCCAAAAAGCCACCAATAGTAACATTGTCAACATTTGAGGTTGAATATGTATTAGCTTCATGGAACATATGTCATGCAGTATGGTTGAGAAAGTTATTAAGCTCGTTACAAGAAAAATAACTCAGAGCAACAGAAATCTGAGTTGACAATAAGTCAGTTATTGAACTTGCCAAAAATCCAGTTAACCATAAAAGGAGTAAATATATTGATGTTCGATTTCATTTTATTAAGGAGCATGTAAGATAAGGACATATAAAATTTGTGCATGTAAGAAGTCGAGTACAAGTAGCTTATGTTTTCACAAAACTACTACAAATTTGAATAATGCAAGAAAATGCTCGGACTAATGAATGAAAGGAACTAGGTCGCTTGAAAGCTCAAACGTTTTTAGAGCCCGAATAATGGAGACGTTGGGAATTCGCCTATTTGAATAAGATAGAAGAACATTTAATTTTTGGAGGAGCTTTGTTAAAACAAATTAAATGTATGTTGAAGTGTTTGAAACGTTTACTTCCTAATTATAATCATTAGATACGGTGGTGGATCTTCTTGGAAGTAGGCATGGCAACGGGGCGGGGCTGGGGCGGGTTTTGCCTCCCTGATCCCCACCTCCGACTTTTTTAATCATCCCCGTCCCTGCCCCCGATCCCTGTCGGAGTTAGAAATTAAGTCCTCATCCCCGTCCCCGTTGGGTTTCGGGTTCCCCGTCCCCGCCCCGTCCCCGATCTATATTATTTTTAAAAAGATAATTACATTTATAATAAATTAATTTTACTATCTATTTTTTATATATAAATAAATATTTATAATTTTATAATTTATAATAATTATTAATTAAATATATATATTTTAATTTATTATATTTATATTAAAATATGTATGTAAAAGAAATATTTAATCATTTTTTATTTATAACGTTATTATTATTATTATTATTATTATTATTATTATTATTATTATTATAATATCTGTATTCAAATATTTGAATACTTATAACATTATCATTATTATTATAATACTCGTATTCAAACATTTGATTATATATATAAGTTAATTCATTTTTAAGTTGTCATTTAAAAATATGAAATATATAGTTTA